TCTAATGGCATTTGCAAGAATGTTTTTGTTCAGGTCCTTAAAGGGGAATTATAAACTATTATAATTTTTTGCATCACTGCACGCCTTCATTACATCAAGACCAGTCCATTTCATGCATGACAGGCGTAACAAAAGGGAAACTAGAGACTTAACCCATTATGAATGCAATTCAGGACCTATTTTACTTTTCAAAAAAGTAAGGAGGATATGAAGGAAAATCTGTATTGGTACTACGTTGGTTTGATTTGTAGTTGTGATGATCAATGGCATGACCAATACACATTTCCCCCCCAAAAAAATTTAATAATGCAACTTTACACAAATAACATTAATTTAATCAACTAATTAATCAATTTTGCACCTGTAAAATCATATTTAAGACCTTTTAAAGTCTAGTCTTCGTCTTTTTAAGACCTGGCAGACACCCTAAAGTCAGGCCTACCTGTTAAGAACATCGTGGGATTTCGTCTGCAGCAGGATGTTCAGGTACATACATCTACTGACCATCTTGGTAGAGGCTTTCATCAGACTGCATTGAAAAAGAGCAAAGGTGTTATGGTATGCCCTATTGTAAGAAGATATTTAGGATATACACTTAAAAGCACAGACATTTGTCATGTCTAACTTCAGTTCCTCACCTGAACACTTTTGGGACTCCCTCCAGGCTGCGGAGCTCCCCATCTTTTCCCAACAGAGCCTCTACACCCTTCAAAACCTCTCTGGGGTCCACCGGTCCCCCTGCCATATCTGAAACACACACCTAAAACAATTAATACACATTCCAAAAGGAAAGGATGGATTCAATTTTCTGATACCTACAAACAATTGTTTATCTGTGCTAAAAAGGTATTCAAGTGCTGATTACTGAGGACTGTTGGCCTGCCAGGCAGAAAGGGTGCTCCATGCTACAATATTTCCACACAAGGACCCAATAAATGTGGTTTGGTTCAAACAAGCCCTGTCAAGGATTCGCATCAAAACCGTAACAGGCCAACAAGGTCACTGCGGTCAGATTCAACTCACGAATAAACACAGTGCACATCACACTCTGAATCATCTCACTACAGTGATCCAGTGAACACCAACCTGTCTGTACCAAACTCCCATCAACACCAAGGTCCAAAGAACAGACGCACAACACCCAAACACATCAACACCAACAAGAGTCTGAGCAGCAGCACGTTCATTATGCTGCCAAACAGCCCTAGTTACAAACCAACTCACAAAGCAGTGATTGAGGAGCAGACCACTCCGACCTACTATGCTGTAAATGATTTGAATATCAGGCTACGGTAGAACACCATCTACACTGATGATTTGAATCACATGGTCACATACAAGACACTAAAAGTACAGGCAGCAGCATTTTCTTCCAGCCACACAGCACTGTTGCTCTGGCAGTCAGACATCCAGTGCATGATGGTTCCACGTGCTGCCTCATACTTGACATGTTTGGAGTGGTTCATGGGGACAGCAGGACGCTGCAACGTATTCCTCAGCAGTGTTTCCTCTCTGGGATTTTTATTCGCAGGACAGGACATATAGTAATATAGTTAGCATGTTCATTATTGTGTGTGAGGCAACGCTGTTTATTCCAGTTAACAAAACTGCATGTTTATAAAACTGACGTAATAACATAACATACAACATAACTTTTTTTTTTATTTACCTAGCTGTTTCCCTAATCATATCAAACTTAACTATTTAAATGTATTAAATATTTATAACTATTTTTATTTCTTTACAAATAAAGGTATTATATGTATCAAACACAAAACAGGGTGAAAGGTCAAAGTTTTGTTAGGATAAAAGTATAAAAAGAGAAGAATTTTTGCAAGAAATGTTACTAATAATGATTTATACACTTTTTAATAGCACACGTCTATCACAATCATTCACATTTGTGCAACTCAAACAAGAGGATGGAAACAAACATCAAAAAACCTACTTTCACTAATTAATATGATGAGAAGATGAATGGTACAAATTCAGATTATATAACAAATTAAAATGTGACCGAAAGGTAACTGTATGAAGTATGAAATGCTTGAAACTGTAGAATTAGTTTGTTAAATGCTCATCTGTGTCTGTTCAAAAGGGATTATCTGACTGAAGGCATCCCTATGTCGGACTACAGTGCTGTTAATGACATCACTGTCAACGCTTCCAGCCAGAAGGTACAAGTCAGGCCACTTACTGCCACCTACTGGTTAGTTTACACACTGGCACTATGCAGTCTGTGTTGTTGCACAATAGAGAAATGCATTACAGATCATTACAATTGTAAGTGCAGCATTACAATTGTAAGTGCAGCATCACATGACAATGGGCTGACCTGTCACACATTAATCTAACTATAAAACATGAATGATGATTTATAATCCCTACAAGTTATTATCTTTGAAAAGTCTGATGTGATCCAAACAAAGACAGCAAACACTAAGTCAACATGCCTTTATGAATCTCTTCACTTTTATGGATTTGAAAAATTGTAATGACAGACGGCCTTATGAATGAACCCCCAACAGGTTCATGATGTAACTGCTTGGACTGAGTCTTGTAAACATGCACTTGTTTCTCCGTGTTTATGCGTCTTATAATGAAGTTTTTGTGCCAATTGGTGTACAAAACCTGCAATTCTGGCGGAAATCAATTCACTGGAAAAGTCATGATGTGAGGAATCAGTTAGATCTTACCCGTGTAACTGTTGTAGTAGAAGTTTTATATAGTCTCAGACCTCCACAACACTGCAAATAACCCAATTCCTGTAAATGTCACAATTGTTACACATATACACAAAATCAGTGTTAAACAAGGCCCTGGTTCCTGATTCATTATTTGTGCATAGTAATACTGTGGTGTACTGGTACGTTATGGCAAAACAAAACTCAATGACCAAGCCTTCTACAAAAATTAATTACCGTAATGTTAATAACGGTTGCGCAACATGAGTATGAGTAAGGCAACGGCGTATATTCATCACTGAGAAAGCGAATGAATCAAAAAACAAAGTAAAACGCCCTCGGTTATATAAGGGCAGTACACGCAGCCTATAAATGGCTTGCGCTTAACCTGACATCTGTCATAGCTGAGAACATGCCTGCTCCTGCGGCTAAGCTGCTTCACAAAGGGGAGGGAGCTGGAAGCTGGCTGCTTATCAGAGCCCTCCCTCCGTTAACCACTTCGACGACGGCAAACCAACCCCTACACAACTAACAATGGCTCTCTTAGCAAAGACAGTACTGCTGGGTAAAAAAAACATGGCTATCTAGCGAACCCATACGGCACTCAAGACAGTGCCGTCGGGGCACCACCTGTTCTGCATTTCAGTTTTGTTTAAAAAAACAACAAAAAAACAAAAAAGAACTCCCAAATGTAGCTCCGAGAACACGGCTAGCCCCCGGAGCTGTCCCGAGGACGAAAGGCAAACCACAAACAATCCGCCATTTTTGTTAATCCCGACTGTTTGTGCTTCGAAAGACCACTTCGCTCGAGTCATCCTGCAATCTTTATCCACAGATTGCCGAGTACATGATGCGGGCTTTCGGGAAGTGCTATAATTATCGACATTTCAACACACACAGTGCTTCATAAAGTATGTCCACAATCCTTAAACTAACGCAATCTTTATGTATAGATTGCGGTGGGTGTTCGTTCCGTGGAGCAGCCCCTACACAGCAAATCTGGCAGGCAAAAAGTCCGACTTCATGAGCTGGAATAGAGCTTCTTATGCCTACGGCAATCTTTATGAATAGATTGCTTATGGTTATTTAACGAATTTACTGGCTACATTAAGTTTTTATTTGTACAATTCGTCCATTCCGTCTCACACACAAAGAAACGGAGCCTTGTGCATCCGTCCACTTTCCTGTGTGAGCTCATACTATAGTCTATATTCAAATTGTTTAGTAAGGACCAAGATAACTTACGGTGCCTGCTAGCCAGCTACCGCTAGCTAGCCTATTGTCTACGACTATTTTCATTTGATTGTTCTCGATTCAATTTAACTTCAAAATCAACTTACTATTGATACTATAGATCCTCAGCGTCTCGGGTATAATAGAGTGTGCTTTTCAGGCACTTATATCTCTTATTTCATCAATTTTACATCGTCAACCTTCATGGTTTTAATATCAACTGAAAGACTTCTTATGGGTGGGGCTGTGATAGCTAAAGGCTACCCTTTCCTTCAGGAACAAACTGGAGGCAAAAATAGTAATCAAATGTCCATTACTTGAAGAAAAAAATATGAATTTGAGTAGAGTTGTTCAAAGTCCTCGACGGTTCAGTCTTCGGCAAAGCAAATTCATACCTGCAAAACACACAAAGAAAACACACACTTAATTTCGACTGACAAATTCCGTCGTCTTTCGTCTATATTAACGTCCTTTGTTGGGTTTTGAATACATTCACTAAGTATTTCACATTTAAAACGGACAAAATGTTGAAAATAAGCCTTGCTGTCTTTCTGACTTCACTTACCTTTGACCAAATCCAGGAATGAGCTCGAAGAGGAGGGACTTAGATTTTATACTACGTGACGTTTTTTACGTCACAGACAACGTTTTTTCCGTTTTCGGTGAAACAAAATGGTGGATGACCGCCCTTCTCTGCCTGGCCAAGGGCATAATGGCGTATCTTTCAATTTGGAAACTATTATATGGAATTACTCGCTAGATTCACCATAAAAGTATTGTGTATTTGTATAATTAAAAAGAAAATAAAACACACCATCGCATTTTGTTGATTTAGCTAGATTGTATTAATTCTCTGATATATATATTTAGTTAATATTATTTCTTCAAAATGGCGACTGATTTCTAGGGCCGTGAGGGTCACATGCGCCAGTCAGAGAACGCAACATTTTAACAATCATTTATACCCAACCGACTAAAATAAACACAATGAAATACAACTGATATGCATAGTCTAAATCATTTATTGGTCACATTTTGATATCCGATTTTACGCTTAACACGGCTACAATATAGCCCTTTAACCTTTCACCTCTAACCCCAGTCTCTGACAGAGAAAAATGGCCGCCTCCATCCAAGGCATCTTGAGGGTTTGGTACCGTCTATCACCTTCAGTTTTACATCCATTACGACAGTACCCGGTATTAGATTTAATTTTGCTTTTGATATACAAATCATCCGATTAATTAGCGTGATTCGTTTGTACGAAGGATTTCTATGTTGAAGTCAGAAGAAACGTTGGACCTGTTGCTGCTGTGTCGACCTGAATTTCTCCTAACGGGGATCAATAAAGGAATATCTTTATCTTTATCTTAGTTAACGTTAATGGTAGCTAGACTAGAGTAACGACACAATGTCATGTAACGTTCATCCTTGCGTGAACTTAACTGAATTGGAAGGTTATTGGTTATAGGACACAGGACATTGTGTTGTTTCTCAGTAAGGTGTGCTACTGACTGTATTCTGTAGGTTAACGGCATTATTGGAACTAGAGAATGCTGGATGTTAAAAGACTGACGCCAATGGGCTTATTGGAAGATTTGTTGTTGTTGTTGTTGTTGTTGTTGTTTTTTGTTATGTAGAAACTTGATACTGACCGTAATTGATACATGTAATCACAGGCTTCACGCATCCATTACAGTTAGACATAAGTTTAAGTTTTTCTTATACATTTATTTTATACAGTGCCTGCAGCACTAGAATTGACATGGCAAATTGTCATATGTGTATGTAATATTTTCTTAGAATATTATTAATAAGAAATTCAATTAGTTTCTTTTTCAAAATATGAAGATGTTTTTGTTTTGCTTTAAGTCCTGTGTGCAGAGGCTTCCTGTGAGAACATGCCCGGGTCTCCCTCTGTTTCTACCTCCAAGTCACTTTTTTTGCCAAGCAGCATCACTCCAGGAAAAGGAGGCTGCCCAGGCTCTCCCTCGCTACAATGACAGACCCTGGGATTATCTGGAGAGTGAAGGTATGTAAAGGAAAAAAATCAATACTGTCCTACTGTATATATGTATAGTGTATTAATGTCTAGCTGTCTGTATATAAACCAGTTTAATACTTGTACCTACATCCGCTCTATATAATTACTGCTCATACTGTTAATTACACTTTTTCATATTTTTTGCAATTGTTTCTACAAGCTGTATATATATCTTAGTGTATTCACTTCACTATGTTCATTCTGTTAATGCTGCTCATGTATATATCTTGCTAGCAAATTCCTAGATATACCTATATTGTTATTTTTAGTGTCACTCTAAATATGTACATGACTCTGCACTGTACTGTTCTTTGCACTTCTGGTTAGATGCTAAACTGCTTTTTGTTGTCTTAGTACTTGTACTTTGTGCAATGACAATAAAGTTGAATCTAATCTAATCTAATTATCATTGTTAGCCTCTGTATGTGGTTTTACTTTATATTCCTTTCCCCTGACAGAGTACATTGAGAGGTATGGAACCAATCCAGTGTGGGCAGGCTACAGGAGGAACCACAAAGGAGGCATTCCCCCACAGAAGACACGCAAGACCTGCATTGTAAAATTTCTATTTCAATTATTTTATTTTATTTTAAAATCCACCTTACACTGGCTCCATGCATCGAACCTGTTATTTACAGTAACATCAACACTGTTTCTGTAGAGAGGAGACAAGATATGTGGAAATGCCTGTCCAATTTGTCGGGATCCAAACGTTATTATCCACCACCAGGTGGGTTGACACTCTGAAGTTCTCACCGTGCATCAAACACACTGAGTTACAGTACACTGTAGTGTTTCATTATACGTTATCAGTTCTTTGCCACCAATGTCTAAGAGTCTGAGGCTTTATATTCTAACCACTCTGCTTCTGTGAAGTCGGTGCAGTAACAAAAGAAAACAAGAAAACTAGAGTGCATCTTAACTGTTATAAACTTAAAAAAAAAAAACTTGTCAAGGACCACAACAAATATAAGCAAGAAAAACAGTTGTTTAATGCACAAGTTTAATAAAAGGTTTTTCGCCAAAACATGTAAGTGTCAGTCCAGTTAAAAGCTTTTCATCATAATCAGGACTGGAACTGATACATATCTATATTTAAAGCTGCAGTAGGTAATTAAAAAATAAAAAGTTTTGCTGAAACTTTCACTATATCCTGACAGTAGTACATGAGACAGATAATCTGTGAAAAAAAATCAGGTTCCTCTGGCTCCTCCTAGTGCTCCTAATGGCATTTGGAAGAATCCACCGGGCCTGAACAAAAGCAACCAATCAGAGCCAAGAAAGATAGAAAGACTCTTTGGGTTGGAAGCTTGAAGATAGTTGATTGTTGAGTCGTTACCAGGGTCCCACACCCTGTGAATGAGACTCAACAATCACTCGTCTTTCTTTGCGCTGATCAGTTGTAGTCATTCAGGTCTGGGAGATTCTTTCAAATGCTATTGGGAGCACTAGGAGGAGCCAGAGGAACCTGATCTTTTTTCTTTTTTCAAATAATCTGTCTTTTGTGCTACCGTTAAGGTTTCAGCAAATATGACAATTATTTTTCTAAAAGTTACCTAATGTAGCTTCTGAGCATCACTGTTGAATAATACACTCATTAGTTACCTTTCTGAATAGACCAAGATCAAATGTGTTCAACAACAGTAATCATTGTCAGTGATGAGTTGTACACAAAAGGGGAGTGGCTTATTAAAACAGTTTAATCACAAAACCCTGAAAAACTAGTATGAATGCTAGAATAGATTTCATAGTATGCTGGAATGTTTGCAGTCAATATTATTAATTAGCTCTCTTTCTTGTGTTATTAATTGTTCCAATTGGGGTGATATCACTTCGTATTTAGCTTCAGCATAGTTAGATTGAACATGAAGAGCTTTATTTTGCCTCATTTCCTCTCCTATGGTACGCTTACCCAAATATATCTTATCTTGTAGAATGTGAAATTGTTGCAGCAGTTCATCAGTCCCCACACTGGGATGGTGTACGATCCCACTCAAACTGGTAAGAAGTTGAAAAGTGAGCACATGTAATCCGGTTGATAACCAGGGGGATCATGTTGTGATGGTTGTACTGTCTCCAGGTGTGTGTAGGAAGCAGCAGAAGAAACTAACTGAGGCCATCAGGACAGCAAATGATCAAGGTACGTAACACAAAACAAGATTTCATATGAAATATGGAGTGCCTTATTATAAACTGTCATTTTATCTCTGCATTTCTATTGTTCTTTTGGAAACTAACATTTTAAGTACACAGTACTTCAAAGATGGCAGTAAATGTGACTGTTGTGCTGTATAGTATATGAAGTGAGATGAAAATGTTGGTGTTGATGAAGGGGTACTTGAGCTGATCAGATTGGGCTTTGGGGGTACGTCTTACAGAATAGATTCTGAATATTATAATGAAATGGACACTTAATACATTATGAACAAACAATGCACACAAGTCTAAACTATTTTAATGTTGCTGTGGAACAAAGTGAGACTAGCCTCCAATCAAATGCCATGTATGTAGATTATGTTTATATAGTGGATCCATACAAATAACACAATAGATGTTTTGAACTTTTGATATTTATTGTCCCTCAACAGGCCACAACTGGGCAAAATTAAATTATGCTTGTTAAGCACTATACCAAATATAAATTACAAATATATACACTGTTTGTAGTGCAAATAAAACAAAACAAAACTTCAGACAATTGGTAGATATACTGTACTTCAAGTATTTTCTTCCTCGAAAAAGTAGAACAGTGTAACAATATGAGGTGCTTTCAATCTAACTGAAAAGTACAATGTATAGCAAAACTAAGGAATCCAAACATAAATAGGTAATACATAAGAAATAAAAAATACATCTCCATAAAAATAAATCTCTTTCTCTGACCATTGACAATCTCACTTCAAGAGGCTGCAGCCAGCCAACAAATAAATCTAAATTAAATGATGCTCTTTAAGCAATGTACCAAAAATGTATTCAAACAATATATACACTCTTTTTAGTGCAAATGTAATAAGATGCAACACAACTCGCCATACCTGTCTCTCGTTGACTGACTCGCTTGGGTTATTCGTTGTGTGTCGGACTATGCGTGCTTTCGAACACCCGCCCAACTCTACCTCTGATTGGCTTACCATGAAATTTTACTCAACCTCAGCCAATCGTCAGCATTTATGCGCTTGTCTCGTGCACTGCCCACTAACCAAGGAAGAACAGTAAAAAAAAGTCTTTGCCTCTCGGCTCAGAGATCTAGTTGGTCTGATGAAAAAAACAGATTCAATAATAGTAACGCGCCGCATTTTCTGGCAGTAATGGCGTTATTAAGTTGGGAAGAGTAATCAATTAGGTTACTCGTTACTGAAAAAAGTAACGCCGTTATTCTCATCACCGCTGCTGACATTCTTATAGGTGGTTAGCAGCTTTTGAGGTAGGGCAGACCAGGGTTTCTCCATTGAAGGTATTACAACTTGTCATCAGATGGTTAAATTTATATTGATTAACACTTTCCTGTGTCCTCTTTCAGGTTTAATCCCCTTTCAGATTCCACATGTGGAATTTTCAGGAGAGAACTACTCTAATTCCCATGATGCTGTGGGCTCCACACCACCTCCCCAGTCCTTAATCTCTGGCAACACCTGGTATACATGGTATGGTGAAATAACACCTGATGAAAAGGAAGTGGCTAAAGTCAAGAAGACATACAGAGCTTACTTAAAGTGAAGGGAACTCTCTGTGATATACATATGTACAATGTCTGAGTTTCCACACTGGTTTCACACCTACACGTATGAAAATAAAACTTGCACAATAAAAGACATGATGAAAAATTGATTTTATTGTTTCGCTTTTGTAGATCATTGTTGGAGACAATTTACCTCCATCTATATTTATAGAAATGTAATAATAGGATCAATAACTCCAGCCTGTTAAAGATGTTACAGTCCAGAAGACAGGGAATAGATACCCTTACCCCTAACAAATCCAACAGTTATTATTATCAGTGTTATTTCGTGAGACATGCTGAGCGGTCCAGATGAAGATGAGGGAGCGTATGATTGGGGGACACAGTGATGTGCAGTAGTGTGTCCTCCTGACAGCTGCTCTGTGTTATCATGGGTTGACCTTGTTGACCATGGTCTCTCCCAGGGACTCCAGCACCTCCCGCTTGTAGTCGTCAAAGTCTCCGTCAATCTGGTTGACCGTGCAGTCCTCCACCACCGACAGGTTGCACTGGGTCTCTGTGATGAGCCGGGCATCGTGGCTCACAATGATCACAGCTGGATAAGAAGGGAAAGTGTTAAAGTCATAATAAAAGACCAAAACAGTATACTGATGTTAAAGCGGCAGTAGGTAATGTTTTGTCATATTTGCTGAAACTTTCACTATATCCTGACAGTAGTACATGAGACATAATATATGAAAAAAAAATAGGTTCCTCTGGCTCCTAGTGCTCCTAATCCACCAGGCCTTGATGAAAACAACCAATCAGAGCACAGAAAGATATAAACACAGTTTGGGTTGGAAGTTTGCGTCTGTATTTGACACCCTGGGAATGAGACTCAACAATCACCCCTCTTCTTGCCTGTGATTGGTGAAGCCAGAGGAGCCAGATTGTATCACTATCTGTCTCATGTACTAATGTCAGGATATAAGTTCCAGCAATAATAAATATAAAATGACCTACTGTAGCTTTAATATTGCAAAATAATGGGCGCCCGGTTAGCTCAGTCGGTAGAGCTGGTGACTCATATACAGAGTTGCTGCAGCAGCCTGGGTTTGAATCTGACCTGCGGCCCTTTGCTGCGTGTCATCCCCTCTCTCTCTACCGACCTTTCCTGTCTCTACAGCTGTCTATCAATAAAGCCAACAAAAGGCCAAAAAAATAACTTTAAAAAAAAAAGAATACTGTAAAATAATGAGTCAGTATTTTCACTAAGAATCTCATTATTCAGACTTTACATACAGTGTATATTTATATACATTTTTCATTCTTTTTCTGGTGAAAATGGCTTCCATATTATGTGAGTAATGGGAAAACTTTGAGCATGCTCTTGTTGAACTAGTATGAACTTAAACAACACTGACTGAAGTTGCATTAGCCTTTATTTTTATTTTTTTAAACCAACTCCTCCTTTTTGTTGTGTGCAGGGCGGGCTCTACCGGTTGTCTAAATTCATACTGTCCATCCCTACACTACAGCACGCTCTGGAGAATGATGCATGTCCATGATTTGCAGGACACAAGTTTAAAAGTGCCAAAGCACTAGTATGATCCTTTGATTTTTAGCTCATCAGTTGGGAATTCATTTCTTCCTGGTGGACACCTCGTATGGAAAATACACAATGAGCACTCGTACCTCCTTTGTATTCATTGATGGCCTCTGATAAGGCATCAATTGACTCAATGTCCAGATTGTTGGTGGGTTCATCCTATGAGAGAAATAAGGGAGTTAGTCATAAAATAATTTTTGGAAGTTTCACAGTGTGGACCAAAAGCTCAGTGGCCCTTACCAAGATCAGTACATCAGGCTGACGACAGGACAGCTCAGCAAACACTACTCTGGCCTTCTGACCACCTGTTAGAGATCAAATCCAGACACAGTGTTAGAAAATATCGCTCATGACAGGTGACAGTAAACGACGGTTCAATGTTCATACCGGAAAGTTTGGAGATCTGGATGGTGTGGGCGTGGCTCTCAAGGCCAAAACGTCCCAGGCACTTCCTGCTGTCTTGGTACGGAAGATTGAAGTTCCTCATCAGGTACTCTGTGGCGGTCTCCTCCATGTTCAACTGATCAGCGTACTGCTGGTTGAAGAAACCCACTTTCTGGAGGCAGACAAAACACTTAAGTTACAGCTTCTCTTCATGTAAACTGACCAATACCCTGGAGCCACTTCAGTCTTTTCATTATGTTCAGTGCATCTGTTTTTTACAGCAACCTGTTTACAGATTGGTACAAGAACTGTTTTGGTCTCTATAGGAAATTTCCCGGTTCATGACAACAGTACTGGGGGTGAATTTTTATATAACCCACCCATTTAAGTTATATTAAGGCTTAAAGTTATGCATACATAATAATGATGGGGAATTATCTCTCATTTGGCTCAGCTTAGCAATAAGAGTCAGTCTTTTGGCTTCCACATCTGCTTTTTGTAATTCAGCCAAATAAAGTGTGCCCATTTATCATAATATGTTATATATACACACAATAAAATTATTCAATGTAATTATACAAAACCAACAACATAGAAAAGTCTAACCATGCTTGCTTACCAAAATGAAACGTTTCTGGGTTGTATGTAACAAATACATTATAGTATAATCCTATTATTCAGCCTTGTATTCATTTATTTAAAAAAAAGAAAGAAATCAAAATTGGCTCTCATGGTTTACTTAAAGGAGCTGACACATCGCCTATAATTAAGGGCGTGGTCGCTTTGAGTGACGAGTGGATGCCATCACAGGCATCTGTTTTCAGTAACCAGGCTTCATTCAGCCGCCCTCAGCTCCACCCATGCTCAACCTCTTTGCCCATTTTTGGATTAGCCGGGAACCGGCGGAGTCAGGACTGCCAAGATGGTGACGGCCAGAGCCGACTACACTGAGTTCACAATGGCTCTTCACGGACCTGTGGGTGACCTCACAGAGACTACAGCCTTTCTTTTATTATTATTACTATTATTATTATTATTATTATTACTACTACTACTACTACTACTACTACTACTACTACTAGGATAAAACTCAATGGCTTCCTTGCTAGATTTGGCCTCTTTTTTCAATAAAGAAACCATCCCCATTGTGTATTTTTAGAGTAAGTTACTCACCAAGCGATGATTCTTCCTCATCTCACCTTTAGTCTAAAAAAGAAACACCAAGTCAACTCAGTAGTACACACACACACACACACACACACACACACACGCACACGCACACGCATATATATATATATATATATATATATATATATATATATATATATACATATATATATATATATATATATATATATATAAATATAACACACACATACATATACACACATTATACATATATACATTACACATACATTTTCTTTATCTTCAGACTTACAGGATTTAATTTGCCAGTGAGCAGCAGCAGCAGGGTACTCTTCCCAACACCATTGGGTCCTACTATACAAACTGAAAGAAGGAACAGTCATGTCAGAAACATCATGGTGTGAAGGAAGGTCAGCAGCAGACTGAACAAACCACAACAATGGAGGGAAATTTGGAAGAGAAACTCAACAATACACTCAACAAAATCTTAAGACCGTCTGAATGCCTGATAGAAAATGACATCAAAGCCAGTTTTTTGCACAGATTTGGATTTTTTAAGGCTATGGACTTAAACTTTTGATTTGAGTTTAAATGCAGTTTTCAATAAATTGCCTACTCTATTTTTTTGTCTCTTGCTCCTGTTTCTTTTTTTTGCATTTTGAAGCTCTACTTACAACCTGGTTATGTTCCAACGCAAAATGTGAATACTTGCAATTTTCCCCCCGGTCTTAAGATTTTGTTCAGGAGTGTAAAGTGCCATCCATTTTTAGTTCTGTTCACCTTCCAAAATCAGAAGTTCTCAAGAAAGATCTGATCTGCCCCCGGTGGATATACTTTTTAACCCTCCACCGACACTTCAAGCACACAGGCCAATATGTGAACAATGCCTCTTGTGTTGCAGCTCTTTGTTCCATTCGTGTATCCTAAAATGATAATAGATAAAAGCAGCATACTTACTCCTAGAGTCCATGTCAATTCCAAATTCCACATTTTTGAAGAGAGGCTTCTGTTTCTCATAACCAAAGTCAACACCTGTACAGGAGAGAAAGCATGGTGTCATTTGACAGATATCTGTTAAAAGAATCTGGTTCCTCTCGCTCCTCCTAGTGCTCCTAATGGCATTTGCAAGAATCCACCGGGGCTGAACAAAAACAACCAATCAGAGCTGAGAAAGAAAGTTGATCATTAACTGAGCAACACATAGTAATTTGAGCAACTATTACTGTTTCTTTTTTGCTGCATTTAAACAGTGTCTGTATTTGACGCCCTGGGAAAGACACATACATGTTTAAAACTAAACATTAACGCAAACAATAGTTGACAGACATTGTTGTCCCCATCATGACCTTCAAGATTTACCTCTGTGTTCAGCTCAGCTTCATATATGGGACAGGCAGCTGTCACCTGTGCTTCAGAAAGATTTTCTGTACAGGGAAAAAAACAGCCCTGAGCTGCAGATGTTCTTACTGTGTAGTCCCAGTATGGGTGGTGAGAGAGGAGGTGGGTTGGGGAAGGTGAATTTGACAGTGTACTCTTTAGGCCTCTTCAGCAGCTCTGTGGCGTCCTGGCTCTCCTCCTCCTGGCCTCCCTTCTTCTTGCCTTTCTGCTGCTTCCTGGTCAGGGCGTCCTTAGTTTGCTTCTCCTGAGAGGAAACATTTAAAGAAACATTTATAAAAACTGTTGTTAGACACAAAACCTTTGAGCTTTTTCTAATCGGTATGAGGAAGTTTGAGGCTACCAAACCCTTTTTTAGTCGTTAGTCACTAAGGGTTTATATTTAGAAGGAAAAAACGTCAAACAACAGGTTAATATTCTTTATTATGGGGGGGCTTTTATTGCCTTTATGATAGTGACAGCTGGAGAGAGACAGGAAAGGGGGACAGACAGAGGGGATGACACGCAGCAAAGGGCCGCAGGTCGGATTCGAACCCTGGGCTGCTGCAGCACGGACTCAGCCTCGGTACATGGGACGCGAGCTCTACCAACAGAGCTAACCGTTCGCCCATTTCAGATATTCTTAATTTTTTTATA